AAAAAACTCTAATTTTATATTTTATGCTTTTTAAAAATGTTAAAAAGCAGTAATGTAGAATTTTCCTACTGCTTACTTGATTCCTTATTAAATATCTCTCAGTCACCAGTTCTTCTTCCCATTTCAAAATCACAGCCATTTTATATATCCAGGACAGAAATCTTCCCCCCGTAACTCCACAATCACCACAGGATATTAGACCAAAAACCAAAGGTAAGTAAAAGGATGAAAAGTGAAGCCAAACAAAAGTAGAAATCTGGGTATATTAGATAGGAGTGAGGTGATACACTGTGAGACTGCTGGCAGCATGAAATATTAAGTAGGATGCTAACAATATTTTGTACTCTTGTCCAGCAAAGCCAGTACGTTTATAAAGGCTCCTTACCATTACTAGCTGAATCAAAGCCATCCATCCAGTTGCCACATTCCAGCTCACTGTAGCTGTCATCATAATCATCACTGTACAGCTTACCCTCAGGCCCAGGGTCCATGAAGCTCAAACGTGTGCAGCAAGAAGTTGTCAAGAACTCTGACAATTTACCTGTTTGAACCCTAACAATAAAGGAGTAGATTAAAAACATAAAATCAGGTGAAATCCTTTTTACTTTATTTTCATTGTGCTTTGGGTGCAAATTTACAGAGGAAATTTTGTTTTACATTCAACAGTTCGTGTACATTTGATTTCATGCCCCAATTACCATCCCTGACCTTAATGCACTCTCCTCCCCTCCCATCCCGGTGACCATCCCCTCCCTGTGTCATTCTTAACTATGCACTCCTGTCTGTCCAGCTTTCCCTCTATGTGAATGCTGCCCCTCTGGTGCCCCACGGCTGACTGCTTTAAAGGGTGTATCTCCCTAGAGTAAGTGGGTGCATCACTCTAGGTTAAGTGTTCTGCATGTAGGTCTTTCTATTTTGGGGCTGAGAGCCAATCCTTGAGAGTCAGTTCATTTCTACAATATTAGTGATAAAAGGAAATTTAGAATGTTTTGTCATGGGATTACTCATGTTCATACATCAGTGAAATATTACAGCAATCCTAGGCATAGTGTACAATGTAAATGGTTCAGGTACTATGTTATTTAAGAGTCATAATTATGGGTTCACAACCTGTCATCACATCAGTTTTGCTCTCTTCCACTACCATTATACTATTTTCCTAATTAGGACAAACATATGGTAAAAAAAAAAAGTTTGCATTGGCTGCAAGAGAAACCATAAGAAAATGAAGATAAATCATCACAAATCTGTCACATTAAAAAATACTGAAAAGAATATCTTGAAAACAAAAAATGGTATAGGTAGACATCATTTTATTGAACTTAGCTTTACTGAACTTTGCAGATCCTGCTTTTTTTTTTTTTTTTCCCCCCAAACAAATTGAAGGTTTCTGGCAACCCTGCATTGAACAATTTATCGGTGCCATTTTTCCAACAGCATGTGCTCACTGTGTCATGCTTTGGTAATTCTCACAATATTTCAAACTTTTTCATAATGCTATTGCACTCTTAGTAGACTAAAGTATATAAAGTATAGTGCAAATATAACTTATATATGCACTGGGAAACCAAAAAATTTGTGTGACTCACTTTATTGCGATATTCACTTTATTACAGTGGCCTGAACCCAAACCTGCAATACCTCTGAGGTATGCCTGCACTTGAAAATTTTCTAGATAATAGTACATTGTAAGTCATATCCTCCCCTACTTATAAAGCCAATTACAAAATCTGCAGTAAAGTCAGTAGTACTGACTTTCTAAATGACAGGTATGGATCTTGATACACTGAATAAAATAAGAGTTCATTAATCCACATTGATATAAATCTGTGAAATAAAAGGGCAGAAGGGGAAGGTCTTTTTGTTGTTGAACATTTTGTCATTAGTTGCAATCCCTTCAATATAACAGCATTCTTCCACTTCCTCCCTATGTTAACTACTTTTATTTGCCGATCTTTCCTGCCTTCTGAGCTTTGTTTTTGAGCAAATGCTATCCTTTTGGTCTTGTTTGGTTGATTGCTCTCAGAAGTACATTACTCATGAGTGCTATTATTCACTTTATAGGCCAGTTTTTTGTTTGGCGGTAAGGTGATCCCCAGGGGCAGGTTCAGTTCTAGGTTTGAAGTATGTGTAAGGGCTATAGTCTCAGGGGTTCCACAAGTCTCTATTAGACAAGTAAGACTGGTCTTCTTTTTATGATTTTTGAATTTTGTCCTACATTTTTTTCCACTCTGTCCAGGACCTGCTAGTATGATTCTGATCAGAGCAGCTGGTAGTGGTAGCCAGACACCATCTAGTTCTTCTAGTCTCTGGTTAGTGGAAGCTGTGGTTTTGGAGGTCCATTAGTTCTTTGGACTAATTGTTTCCTTGAGTCTTTGATTTTCTCCACTCTTCTTTGTTTCAGACAAGGAAAGACCAATAGTTGCATTTTAGATGGCTGCTCACAAGCTTTTAAGACCCCAGTTGCTACTCACCAAAGTAGAATGTAAAACTTTGTCTTTGTGGACTACATTATGCCAATTGACCTAGGTGTCCCCCAAGACTACAGTCCCAAGCCCTGAACCCAGTGCCTGAGTCCTTCAAGGTGTTTGGTTATGGCTAAGAAATTTTCATAACCATACTACCTCTATGCATGGTTTAAAATCAAGAAGGGAGTGCATCAGTATTGTGTCCTTTCACCATACTTATTCAATCTGTATGCTGAGCAAATAATCCAAGAAACTGGACTATATGAAGAAAGCGTGGCATCAGGATTGGAGGAAGGTTCATTAACAATCTTAGATACACAGAGGACACAACCTTGCTTGCTGGAGCACTTACTGATGAAGATTGAAGACTACAATTGCAGTATGGATTGCACCTAAATATAAAGAAAACAAAAATCCTCACCACTAGACCAATAAGCAGCATCATGATAGATGGAGAAAATACTGATGTTGTGAAAGACTTCATATTGCTTGGTTCTACAATCAACACCAATGGAAGCAGCTGTCAAGACATCAGACGACATATTGCATTGGGCAAATCTGCTGCAAAAGGCCTCTTTCAAATGCTGAAGAGCAAAGATACCTGCTTGAAGACTAAGGTGCACCTAACCCAAGCCATGGTATTTTCAATTGCCTCATATGCATGTGAGAGCTGGACAATGAAAAATGAAGACCAAGAAAGAGTTGATGCTTTTGAGTTGTGGTGTTGGTGAAGAATGCTGAAAGTACTGTGGACTGCTAAAAGAGTGAACAAAGCTGTAGTGGAATAAGTGCAGCTGGAATGCTCCTTGGACGTGAGAATGGCCAGACTTTATCTTACCTACTTTGGTCATGTTGTCAGAAGGCAACCTTCTCTGGAGAAGGATGTCATGCTTGGTAAAGTGGAGGGTCAGCAAAAGAGGGGAAGGCCCTTAACAAGATGGATTGACACAGTGGCTGCAGTGATGGGCTCAGGTATAGTAGGGATCATGAGGCTGGCACAGGATGGGGCAGTGTTTCCTTCTTTTGTACCTAAGATTGCTATGAGTCGGAGATAACTCAACAGCATGTAACAACAACAACAACAACAACAATGCTCTACTATATAAATGGATCTGTTTGAAGGACAAATACATATGTAGACATACCCTCTGCTAAACCTGAAGAGAGACAACACAGGGATGCCAGAGTAGCAGGCCGGAAGAGCGGGGAAGGGGATAAAAGCCTTGAGCCCCAGGCTTACATGTGAGGAGAGACAATGCAGGGATGCCAGAGTAGCAGGCCGGAAGGGCAGGGAAGGGGATAAAAGCCTTGAACCCGGACAGAAGAGCAATCAGCCAAAGGGATCAGGTGAGGAGGGGAAACTCAGGCCCTCCAGAGTAGCAGGCTGGAAGAGCAGGAGAAAGGGGATAAAAGCCTTGAACCCAGACAGAAGAGCAGTCAGCCCGAGGGTTACAGGTGAGGAGTGACAATGCAGGGACGCCAGAGTAGCAGGCCGGAAGAGCAGGAGAAAGGGGATAAAAGCCTTGAACACAGACAGAAGAGC